CCTTATTCGCACGGCAAAAATTCATCGATTACTGACGCAAAACTATCCTCAGAAGCTTTAGATGATTTCTAGGAAAATTTATCGTCAGAGAAAGTCGACATTTCACGACTGACAAAGAAACAGTTCTTAAAAAAGTAATAGTATGACTGTGTGATTCTGTGTGCAGCGAACAAAGAGAGTTGTGACAAAGCAAAACATAAGATTTTGCCTTCACTACTCAACCGGACACACCAAGAGTTGATATCTGGGCGGGTTGGCCAGCCAAACCACCGTTTATTTGACGCCGAATCGACAGAAGTCTTTACAATTGAAGTAAACTAAATGTACCAAGCCGGTCACGAAATCCCTAAAAACCAGCGGGTGGTAAAAGCGGGGAACGGGGAACGTGTACCCCCGACCAAAGTAGCGGTGCCACCCTTGGGGTTTTAGGGTATCCTATGAACGACATTTTTACACAATTACTTAAGGTACTATGCAAGTACCGCTCTAAATTTATACAAAAGACGAAAACGAAAACGAAGAGCTACACAGGGTGAAGGCTGACCGTAGAATGCCTTGCTCAACTAACGACCTCTACTTACAAACCACGATCCCATAACTCCCCGCGTACCTCGCAGCCACCCCTAGTCCTCCGATACGTGCCGGCAAAATATTAATTTATGCTAAGTAGGACTACCACAAATTACTTTTTTGTCGAGCCTTTGACGTCATGATGACGTTTTCTGCTGTACAACTGCAGGCTCGGGTGGAACATGTTTTCAGCAATAGCTGACGATTTTTGGACAACTTGGAAGCGGTAAAAATTGGTCATCGAAGGTTTGTTTTGAGTTTATAACAGCAAAAAGGGTTTTCACTTGAACCAATTCAACATTCTTTAAAAAAATTAGCCCAAAACAAAACGGTCAATTTTATTCTCAGGGGCACTTTAAGGAAACCACAACGGCGGCGGCAAAGAGAACGCTTTTCGTTTGGTAATTAGACCAAAGATCGAAAGTTTTCCAAGTCTCCCTTTTTTTATTTGTTGGTCACCAATTGGCGACTTTCGTCGAAATTTTGGTCACAAAATAAATGTTTTCATTTACCATGGCGACCAAAATGGTCGCAGCTCGGAGTGCTGAAAAGAGATTTTTCATCATTAACTTTGACCAGCCACAAACAATGGAAATTGGAAAAATCGCTGATTTATTGCAGCCTTGTAGAAGTATGCCGTTCTCTGTGTCATCCCTTGACTTAGATGGCTCCTAAAACACACCATTATTTTCATACTTATAATATCAATGTTTCTCCTTTATTTTGCCACGGACACAGTTGAAGGAATTCAAGGCCAAAACTCTAATGTGAGTCAGTTTTCAATGAGCTAAGGAAAGTCAGTTCCTATTTGATTTTAAGTTTAATCTAACATTTTTTGGTTTTGCCTGTTTGTGGCCTACACATGTAGTACAGCACAACTTATTAAGAGGTTACCTCCTATTTCATTGTCTTTGTTAGGCAAAACTATCTCACCAGTTCCGTTTGCCAAGGATCTAGGGGTATATATTGACTAATATCTTACCTATGATGTACATATCACTAAGACAGCCTCTAATTGCATGAACCAGTTAGTATACATCAGAAGAATTAAACATCTCTTAGACAAGAAAACACTTTTATTGCTTATAAATAGCTTTGTTTTCAGTAAATTGTTTTATTGTTCCTCAGTGTGGGGGAACACATCTAAACGTAATCTACACAAATTACAGTTGGTGCAGAATTTTGCAGCCGGAGTTGTATTGGCAGTTTGACCATATCTCTCAGGGTCGGAGATCTCTTAGATGGTTAGATGTTACAGAGAAAGTTTTAT